CGTTACAATCACGTCCGTCTTAATACGTCCGCAACAACAAAAAAACGACATATAAAATGAGACGGAGCCGATACTAAAAGTATATGTTACTCCCTCTGTCCCATATTATATGTCTTTTTAGAGAGTTTTTTCTGTCCAAAATTATTTGTCATTTTAGATTTTCAATGCATCATTAATTGCACTATTTTCAATTTTACCATTTATAACTCCTAATTAGTTAGTTGTAAAACAATTAATATCAAGGATATATTAGTATTTTCCTATGCTTTTTACTATAATCTATACACATTTATTGATTTTCTTAATATGTGCGAAACAACCCAAAACGTCATTTAAATTGGGACGGAGGGAGTACAATGTGAACCCATGATACGGTCAGCACAAAAAGTCTCATGATTCTTCTCAACTTCTTATTTTCATGTAAAAAAAAAAAAAAAACTCGCAATTTGCTGGAGAAATGAACCCCATACAAGTGACAATTTTATTGAATTTCCCCTATACAAAAAGTCAAACGTAACGTGGGAAATCTTGCCCCACCCCCACAAGGGTTGTTTTCAATGAACTAAACGAACTGAAACTAGTATTTCTCAACCATCAAGATTCAATGGCACCAAATCCTATAATAATTAAATACTCTAATTTCAGCCTAGAATTAAAAGCACATCCAAATGCAATTGCAAACTCCAAAATATGTATATTGGACACTAGTCTTCTTTTACAGCACCAGAAGGGGCATTTTTGGTAATTCATTTTCACAACACTTTTTTTTCTCATTGCCAATATTGTACTTGTACTAAATGTGGACCTTGCCGTGTGACATGAAATATTACCTTAAATCCTACCAGTCTATATTTTTTTTTCTTAAAGCATAATATTTTTATTGCTTCATTTACTCCATTCATTATTCATATGTAGTAGTTGCTCCAAAGATCACAATCAACTCTAACCAAAATTCAGGGTATTTTTGGGGGTTTATTAAATTGCATTAATTCTCTTCCGAATCCATTGGGTTCATAGTAAGATATTAGCCGAGCTTGGATTTTAAGTCGGTGACAAATGCATTAAAAAATTGTTATATAAATTAGAGATTTGAAAAATGTTGAGAGCCATAACCCCGTTAATCCCCTGGCCTTATGTTGGCTCCGCCACTATAGTAAGAAGAAATCGTATTCTTGTTTGAAGAATGCTACCCTCCATAAAATACATTAGTTATATATCTTTCATATATATACTTATAATTTAAATTTTCAAAACACATCCGGTTTACATAAATTGACATGTTTATAAATATTTCTTAATTTCATCCAATCAAGTCTGAGTTAGGAATTCATCTTACAAATGGGTCGCAAACGACTCGATTTCAATTTCGATTGCCAACATTTTATAACTCAAATTATTTACCAATATGTGACTAGGAATTTATATATGTAACAAGATTCTGATTTGATGGAGGAGTTGAAACGAGCTTGTGTAAAATACAAGTAAACGAATCAGACACAAAAAAAAAGTAGACATGTGAAACTGTGGACAGATCAGAAAAAAATAAAGTGACGCACAACTGTTACTTTCTTCTGCCCAAAATCATACACAGTGAAACTCGGAGTACGTACAAACAAAACTCACCGATCGGCATTGTAAGAGGTGGACCTTTTCAACGTCGGAAATTCCTCTTTCTTTGTCTCCACTAAGCTCCCGCTGAAGTACTCCTTCTCCTCCAGTTTCACCCTCCCCCCGCCACGTGGCAACCTCATCTTGTTGTAATTGCATATCAGCCCCTGCCCGGCCCCACAGTCCTTGAACGAGATCGAACCGCAGGAAATCAACTGCATCAGAACGGACGATTTCCCCGCCCTCGAAATCTGGTGGCCGCTCCCCGCCGCCGCCGCCGGCGGCTCCTCGTTGATCGTCTCGGGACGCATTACCAGGCGTTTGTCTGCTTTCATCAAGGTTTCCAGGGTTTCGGGGCTGGAGTCGGACTGCGGCGGTGAGATCTCGATTTCGTCTCGGTGAAGTTCCTTTTCGTACGGTTCCGTGCTTTTCTCTTCCACTATCTCGTGAGTCGGACGGCGCCGGCGGCGCCGGCCGTCGTCCGTCTGTGTGGAGGCGTCCGCCGCTGCGGCGGATCTGCCGGAGGACTCTGTTTTGTAGACGTTGTACTCCTGGAGGTTGAAGTCGATGGAGCTGCAGGACTGATTCCGCCGCCGCCTCTCGGATGTTCGGGCGGCGCAGTCTAATTCGCCGTCGTTGACTTGTGGCTGCTCCGGCGCCGGTAGCGGCCGTGGCAGTTGCCTCTGCGATGAGGTAGCAGTGTCTGCAAACGTGTTGTCCAGAAGCTCCGAGCCTTTGAGAACATACTCATGGCCGTGCGCCGGGTAGATGAAATCGTTCTCCGACAAATCGTGCCACACAAATCCGTTCTTATAGCTCCTGAATCATAAATTCCATCCCCAAAATCAAAATCAAAAATCACACCACAAAAATCAACAACCGTCGGAAAAAAAA